ATTAAGAAAAAGGGTACCCTTATTATTATGGGGTTACTTGTGAATCTAGTAACAGAGTTATGTAGGGTGCAGAGTTTAGGTTTAGGCTTTAGGGTTTAGGATTTAGGGTTTAGGGCTTAGGGGTTAGGATTGAGGGGTTTAGGTCAAGGTTGAGGGGGGTATACATATATATATATATATGCTGTAGTCTAAACTCTTTGAAGGGAGGTTCTAGGATGATATAGGATTATATAGGGGTATATAGGGTTTAGGAATTAGGGTCGAAACTCCGCAAAGGGGGGTTGTATAGAATAGGGGAGGATTATTAGACTTATGAAGGCGGATACTTAGAGTTGAGATTATAGCTCAAATTGACTCTGATGTCAGCACTGATGTAAAGCAGGGGTTTTGGGTTTGAGGTTTAGCGGTTTAAAGATTGAGGGTGTTAGGGTTCCGAGTATAGGAGCTCAGGGTTTGGGGTTTCGGGGTTAAGGGATTTAGGATTTAGGGGCATAGGGTTGAGGGTTGCGGCTGTCGTTGAAGGGTTGGTTTAGAGGGATATACAGAGACTTTTCCCCCCAATAATGAAGACTCAAAGGAAAAGAGCACTACGCAACAATCAGATGCACACTTGCATTCTGTAGTGGTTTATAAGGACTACCCCAAGCCCTAAACCCTACATGATAAGGACTACGGGTTTGCCAACATTACGGTTACCAGTTTGTTTGTAATAAGGATTACATTGGGTTTAAAATTTAGGGGGTAGGTTGGGGGTCCATATTGGGGTCCCCTTGCTCATGAAAGTACCATGCCTGGAACCTAATTATATTGATAGTACTATGAACGGCAGTTACGATGCGAATCATAATACTTGTACCAACCCTGATGTTGAATGCGCCTGATTTGAGTTTCGCGACTTCTGCCACAATGCTGACAGTAGGTTTGTGGCGCAGGTCTTTTCTGCCACCTGCCGTAACAGGACACCCTAAAACCCTAAACCCCTAACCCCCCAAACCCCTAAACCCCTAAACCCTAAACCCCTAGACCCCCAAACCCCTAAACCCGTAAACCCTAAACCCGTAAACCCTAAACCCCTAAACCCTAAACAAGGTCAGGGTTTAGGGTCTCACAGTTTATTGGGAATGCCTTTTTCTGGCTGCTGACATGTGGTTAACAACAGCAGCTTCCATCAGCTGTCTGCCTGTTGGGCCGGGCTGCGGATGCCATTTCCATGGGATTTTGAGGTGCATCCCTCTAAGACTCAAACCATGGGCCCCTAGTATGGTGGGCCCTTAACCCTGGGATCCTTATATACCTACTATATACCCTATATGTACCTTTAAGGGCCCTAGAAGCCCCTAAAAGGTCTAAGGGCCCATATGAGGGGTCATACTTTTATCTTTACATAACCTGAATTTAGAAACTTAGCTTAATTTGCCATATTATGGGTATGTAGTAAATATCAGGATTTCCTTATATATAGTATTTTAGTGTAAATTTGTTAGCAGCAACACAGTAAAGCTTTGCGATTCCTTTTAGATTGTGCATGTTCAGTTCTCGACTGCATGCAGCCCTAAGCATTTTCCGGGCCGCAAAAGTACCACGTGAAACTTGCACAATTGGGCCCCACAAGTTTGCGGGCCCAAAAGCAATCGATAATGAATATATATGTGTATATATATATATATGATGATTGAGCTGACGTGTTTTTTGGCAGTGCTTTTCGCCAGCAATTACCCCATGTATACAGAAGTGCCATCCTGGGATACGGCACATAGATACCTGCCTAGACCCGATGCGTAATTAAGTGGCCATAGCATGCGACGGCCCAGGCCACGAACGCACGAGAGGATGCATGAGATCCGTGGTTCCGCGCAGCTCTCTGTGCTGTTGGAGATGCTTTGGCCCCTTTGCTTCCATTGCGAACTGTAGCAACGCATTTGCCGTCCTTCTGCTCTGAGAGTGTGGTTGCAGTCCTCTTTTGAGCTCACTGCACCCACCCACATCCTGAACTGTATGCACGTTTGCCTCAGAAGCTTTTGCCCATGGGCTAGAAGACCCCAAAATTCCCTATTAGGACCCTATTCAGGGTAGGTTAAGGTACCCTTAAGGTCCAATAGCCCCTAGTGGTTTGCCCAAGGTTCGAGGTTCGGGGATGTCGGAGAATGTCAAGCGCGCAGCGTGTGAAAATAGATCTGGAGAGCATACTTACGTATAAAAATTGGAGAACTTTAACCTTATTGGGCTTCTTTGTTGGGTCTCTACAATACAGTTTAAACTTGTTTAGCCCTGTTTCTTGAGGAAGAGAGCAGAGGCTCATTGATGCGAGATTCTGCATATGCTTGCTTGGGCTGCCACCGTGTCCTGGGAAACAGAATTGTTCCAACGTCTTGGCAGTTGACAACATGGCAAGTCAGCAAACCAGCCTGGCAAACAGCTTGCACTTTCCAGCGTATCCCAAAGCCTGGAACCCTAAACCCCCTAAACTCTAAACCCCCCAAATCCTATTAACAACAACATAGGGAGGTAAGCCGAAAGCAAGCAGGAAAGCGTGCAGCTCACTCCTTCCTTTCGGAAGGCATTAGAAATAAAATGGAAAGTACTATAGTATATTAGGGTTTTGGGTACTATTGGGATAATGGAAAAGAAAATGGAAACTATTATAGGGTTTAGTAGAAACCTCAAAAGGAAGCACCCCTCAAGGTTTTAGGATTTATGGCCCAGGGTTCTCACAGCCTTTTGATTTTTCATGAATCGCACGAATCTGCGTTGAACTTATAATTTGTGAAAATGTTGTTCCTATGATTCTTGGTACTTATCATTTTAGTATCTGTAGTATGTTCCTCAACCTCCAAGCCCCTACACCCTAAGCCTGAAACCCCAAACCCTAAACCCCAAACCTTAAACCCTAAACCCCAAACCCTAAACCCCAAACCTTAAACCCTAAGCCCTAAACCCTAAACCCCAAACCCTGGGCTCCAAACCCAGGAAGTCCTTGCCGGGGCGGCCCTTTCCGACAGCCGTCGACATGGTTTTCGGGGCTGCAATGATTCAGGGACCATAGGGATCCTAATGGATCCTAAGTACCTATACATTTAGTTTAGGGTTTAGGGTTTAGGGTTTAGGGTTTGGGGTTTAGGATCTAAACTTCTTAAAGGGGGTTGTATAGGGTTTGGGGCTTGCGATTTAGGATCTAAACTCCTTGAAGGGGGAGGGTTATATATGGGACTATATGTAGGGTTCCTTTTATAGGGAAATACCAGGAGTTTAGACTGTAGCTCATATGCTATGAAGTAGGGTTTCTATACTAGGGATTCGTAATATGGTTTGGGTTAATATCCCGTTAATATCCCCTATACAGGTACTTAGGAGCTAAACCCTAAACCCTTAACCCTAGTGATTTTCCTCTGCGAGCTTGAGGGGGTCCTTAAACACTTATGCGTTGCAAAGAGGGCATGCCCTTACCACTATGGGCTAATAGACCATAAGGGTACCTTAATCTACCCTGAATAGGGTCCTAATAGGGAATTTTAGGGTCTAATAGCCCATGATGGTAGGATCTAGGGCTACGACTTAGTCATGCCTGTGTAAGTACCTGAGCCCGGAAGTATGTAGAATAGTAGCCCAAACCAAGAAATATGTCTCTTACCTATAATATCACTATGTGAAACCTGCAAAATTATGTGATATGCCTCTTTGCTATATAACATCACTACTTGAACGGTTGCCACGAGTGGACGAGATCTGCAAAGGGAAAGAAGGTTTTTAAGGGTTCCAAATGCCCCGAGGCTGGATAGCCTTTGCGAACCCTAAGCCCGAAACCCCTAAATTGGACCCTAAAGTTTATGGATATCATATTACCTTCCGCTATGGGCTATTAGACTTTAAGGGTACCTTAATCTACCCTTAATAGGGTCCTAATAGGGAATTTTAGGGTCTAATGGCCCATGGTGGTTGGGCTGTATGAGCCATAGTCTAAACTCCTTAAAGGGGGCTGTAAAAGGGGTTATATAGGGGACTAGTATAGGGGATATTAAGGGGGATACTAGGAGTTTAGACAATAACCCATATAATCCCCTACATAACCCTATATATAGCAGTTTCCATTTCATTTCCCATTTTCTTTTCCATTTGATTCTCCATTATTGGGGGATAATATACCTATATATAACCCAAATATATACTTAATATTCTATAACCCCAAATTCCCAACTCCAAGCTCTACTCCCTCAACCC